GATGATAATGTCTTTGAGTCGGGTGGTAGCAGTGGGGTTGGTGAGAAGTGGTTAGATTCTGGGTATGTCTTAAAGGTAGAAATAAAAGGATTTCCTGATGGATTGGATGTGCTGTGTGAGAGAAAACCTGAACAACTGAAACACGCAGCATCACCATACACTGAAATGAAGAAAACTGGACAAAAAAAGTTCTGATGTGTTAAATTTGTAATGCTCATTAGAAATCCTAATGGAAATGTTGAGTCAGCAGTTAACTATATGATTCTGGAGTTTGAGGCAGAAGTTCAGGCTAGAGATCAGTTTAAAGTTGACAGTGTATAGATGGAATTCAGATGAAATCATGTAGGGAGCGAATGATAAAGAACACGATAAAAATAAGAAAAAAAAAATAAGGACAAGTCAGGTGCCTGGGTGGCTCAGTCGGTGAAGCATCTGCCTTCGGCTCAGGTCATGATCCCAGGGTCCTGGGATCGAGTCCCGCATCAGGCTCCCTGCTCAGCGGGGAGTCTGCTTCTCTCTCTCTCCCTCTGCCCCTCCCCCTGCTTGTGCTTGCTCTCTCTCTCTCTTTCAAATAAATAAAATCTTTTTAGAAAATAAGTACAAGTTGTTAATGTATACAGTGCAGGGCACTGTTTTAAGCACTTTACATATATAATTCATTTCATCTTCACAACCACTGTGGGAGGTAGCAACTTTCATTATCCTCAATTTATAAATGAGGAAACTGAATCTCAGAGAAATTAAGTGATCTTCTTTTGATCAAATGGCCCCAAATGGTAGAGCAGGGATTCAAAGCCAGGCAGAGAAGTAAATATTGACTGTTAGAGTCCTGGGACACTCCAATTGTTAGCATTCGGGGAGATAAAGAACCAGCAAGGAAATGAAAAGGAGGTTCCAGTGGGTAGGAAGAGAAGCTAGAATGATGTTTCCAGAGCCCAGAGGACAAAATGGAGAAAATGCTCCCTGCCATCAAATGCTGCTGACAGATAAGGAAGATGAGAACTCAACACTGACCTTTGCATTTAACAAAGCAGCTCTAATCAGTGACCTTGACAAAGACTGTTTTGAAGCAGTGGTGGAGTTAAAGCTCAGAGTCGGTCCAAGAGAGGATAAAAGAGGCATTTAAGTTCAACTCTGGAGTTCAGCACAGATACCACCCCTACCCAGTCATAGGTATTCACATATCTATGTGAATTAAAGCAGCAGCTGAGATTTGTTCTACAAACAAAACAGAGATTTGATTGGGAGCTTGGGGAGGAAAAGATATGGGTAATTTTATAGCCATTTTCAAGGAGAACAAACTTGATTTCCTTTCTCTTAGCATTCAATTTTGGTCTTTCCTTCATTAAAAATTTCCAAGCTCCAAATTTGCCTATCTCCTCTCTTCAAAATAAAATTTCTCCAGGACCATGTTTTATTTGTCTGCTCATCCCCAGCCTAGCCCAGGACCAGCCAAGAAAGGTACCAATGAAAGTGTGATAAATGACTAACATCCTAAATGTTGAATATCCTACCCTGAAGTTATTGTCGACTACTTAATGTTCCCATAATAAGCCCATGCTTTTCTGTGTGTACTTTCATGCAGTCATTCAAACTGATAAAAAGTTTTATGCCCATTTTTTAAAGCCATGTACAAGATCTTGGTTTTCCTATTATTGTGTGTATTTTCATAATAGCTTATTCTCTGTCCCTTTCTCTGTCCCCCGTCATTAAATAGTAAAGCTTCTCCTGGTATAAGACTTTCCCTTTGAATCCACAGAGAACTTTATTTTCATTTACCATAATTTCCCTTGTATTTTACCTATATGGACTTGTCTTGTCCCTTTCCCCAGCTTACTATAAATTCCTCCAGGACAGTAACTATCACATGTTTTAATTCCTTACAGCACAGTGCTTAGCACATAGAAAATACTCAGTATATATTTTTTTAATTAATGGATGAAAAGTTATTTGAGTTGAATGATACTGACCTGTACTAAATGATACTGCTTCTAACCTTAGACAGTGGGACCTCCCATTCCATATAGTAATAATTGCATAATGTCCTTAGCTTAGAGACAATTTTTTAAGCTAGATTTAGGAAAGGTTAAGAAATACTATCACATCAAAATAATAACTAAACCCAGTGAAATTCGAAAAGTTCACGGTTTGTTGGTTTGCCTTTTTTATATATTTAACACTTTTTAAGATATGTAGTTAATAACTAATAAACCTACTAAGTGCTTGTTTCATAACTTCTCTTATATATGAATTAGTGAGTATTCTAATTTATTCTTTTTTTAGATTTATTTTTTTTAAAGATTTTATTTATTTATTTGACAGAGAGAGAGAGCACAAGTAGGCAGAACGTCAGGCAGAGGGAGAGGGAGAAACAGGCTCCCCGCTGAGCAGGGAGCCTGACGCAGGGCTCCATTCCAAGACCCTGGGATCACAACTCTAGCTGAAAGCAGCCACTTAACCGACTGAGCCACCTAGGCGCCCCCTAGATTTTTTTTATTTTTAAGTAATCTCTACACTCAGTTTGGGGCTCGAACTCACAATCCAAAGATCAAAAGTCTTATGGTCTTCTGACTGAGCCAGCCAGGCTACCCCCCCCTCCTTTTTTTTTTTTTTTTAAGATTTTATTTGACAGAGAGATAGAGAGAGAGCACAAGTAGGCAGAGTGGCAGGCAGAGGGAGAGGGAGAAGCAGGCTCTCGCTGAGCAGGGAGCCCGGTGCAGGACTCGATCCCAGGACCCCAGGACCATGACCTGAGCCGAAGGCAGCCGCTTAACCAACTGAGCCACCCAGGCGCCCCAGGCGCCCCTTTTTAAATTTACATTATTTCTGATCATCTGGTTCATACAATTATAAGAGAGTAGGCTGCTAATTCAGTTATGGAAACTTGGCTTTCACTAGTACATCACTAGAAGTGATAAAACCAAAGGGATATAATCAATAGCTTTAGTTAAGGATTTCACATATAATGGTGAGTGGTAGAATCTTGAAAACTGAGATTTCAGACCTGTTGAAAATGGCTGAAATGAAATGTTAATATATTTCCCCAAGCCTTGAATGAAATAAATGTTATAACATTATATTATATAAACATATAATAGAGAATGTTGGCAAACAATGGATTAAGCAGATGCCAAAATGAGGAAGGCAGAAGGGTCTTTAACTATGGGTACTCTCCACTATACACTTGACTTTATAGTTTGGCTTTTACTACTCACCCAAAATACTTAGCTACAAATTTGCCAGAGTGACTCAGTGGATGAACTGCCTTGTGCCAAGAATGAGTAACTCTTTGGAGGCTTTAAACCACAGAATACGATTTCATTCTGTTTGAGGATGAATATTATATTTTCTTAACCCCCTAAGCTATCCATGTCAGAGTCCATATGCAGAGGCTATCAGAATCTTAAAACTAGAAAATAAACAAACAACAGAAACAAAAACAAAAATAAACAGTAGCTAACTCATTATATTACAGATGAGAACATTTAGGCCCCAAACCTGTCATGCATCCCAGTAGTTATCATCAGATCACAGAACTAGTAATCATCAAAACTATAACTCAAATCTAATCACCTTGCCTCCAGTTTCTATACCTTCCACTCTTCCAGGTATCCTTCATTTTTTGCACACGAGGCCAGTAATTTGAATGATTTGGGGATCCTGGGAATGTCTCTATTTAGCAGAGAATAAATTTTCTGCCATTGAGTCTACCCTCTTTTAAAAAGAAAATACCTTTAGGAATTAAAAATACTATTTGTGTAGCACTTTACAAAGGCATTTCCACATATTTTGAGATCAATAGCTGCTATCTCCTACAGATAGTGATAATCATTTTATTAGGGTGGGGTCCTGTGACAGAGGAGTCCAAGCAGCTGGAGAAGCAAGTCTAGGTAGCTGGAGGGTTTATTTGGGTGGGGGTGTTTTGCAAAACTGTTTTGGGCCAGGCAATTGGAAGGTATGGGTAAAGAGAGACTATCTTTCTAAAGAGGCCATTTCTTTGAACAGGTAGGTCAGTGGTTCTTTTTTTCTTCCCCCCCGCCCCCCGCCAGGATTTTATTTGAGAGAGAGAGCACAAGCAGAGGGAGCAGCAAGCAGAGGAGAGGGAGAAGCAGGCTCCCTGCTGAGCAGCCCCGAAGGGATGCAGGGCTCTATCCCAGGACTGTGGGATCAAGACCTGAGCTGAAGGCAGACGCTTCACCGACTGAGCCCCAGGTCGGTGGTTCTTAACTGGAGGTGATTTTGCCACAGGGAACCTTTACCGTCGTCTAGACACATTTTGATGGTGACCAATGGGGGTAGTGGTACTACTGGCATCCAGCAAGTAGAGACCATGGATGCTGCTGAACATCCTACAGTGCACAGACCAGCCCCCACAACAAATTATCTGGCCCAAATGTCAATAGCGCTAAGACGGAGAAACCCTGTGCTAAAGAAAAACTCGTGCAGGAGCTAGAGGAAGCTTCTTGAATTATTACTTATTTTACGCATTTAAGAGAAAATAGGTCACATACACACTACAGCTGTTTTTTCTTTTTGGATGTAGCTAACAGTTTCTAAGGAATCTTGAAGACTTTATCTGGATTTCCTTGAAGACCCCACTGCTTATGGGTTGGCCCAGGTCAATAGGTGCATTCACTCGAGTTTTGGGCAACTGCTCTGGCCCTTGGCATCCTTCCTTTCTGGTTTCCAGAACTTGGTCCTAGCTGCTAGCTTTTGGGCGTCTTCTGCGGTAGCAGAGAATTCTGTGGGGACGTTACACATATCCACGTGTTTAAGTATGTTGTGGCTCTTTTTTAAACAAATGTTAGACTGTGTGACGTGCCTCACAGGACCCAGGAGTCGCCTCCAGGGGAATCAGATTTTCTTCAGGAGCTGACGGGCCCCCAGGGAGAGGAAGGTCAGGGGCTCTCCCGACAACAGCCCGCGTCCGACTGCGTCTCAGGGAAACCTCACGTCCCCACACAGCCCTTGTGTGGCCAGCACGAAGCAGTTCCAGCCTTCTTAGAGGTGCGCGAGTGCGCGCGACCCGCCGCTGGGAGCTGCGGAGCGGACCAATGAGTGGGCCCTCTCTCCACGCCGGCGCGGGATTGGGCGAACCGCGCCAGCCTCTCGGCCTAGCAGCGGGCGGGGCGCGCCGAGAAGGAACTGGGATAGGCGCGCCCGCAGCGCCAGCGTCCCGGGGGCGCGTGCGCGGTCTCGCGGTGGCCGCGGGGGCCGGTCTCGCGCGGTCTCGAGGTGGAGTGAGTCGCTGGCGGCGGCGGCGACGGCGGCGACTGGCGGTGGGGCGGAGGCGGGGTCTAAGGATTGTGAGGTGGGGAATCGGGAGTTTCTGGATTCTTTATCCGGTGTTTTAAGTGCCGCAGGGGAGCTGTCGTTTGTGCAGTGTGTGGGAGCGGCCGGGGCGGGAGGATCGGCGGTCGCGGTGGCGCAGAGGTAAGAGGCGGACCAGCGGCAGCTGTTTGTGGAGATCTTAATCAACAGGTCCCGGGGAGCGCGTCGGGGGGAGGGGCGGCGGGGCTTGTCCCCTCCCCCACTCGCCGCTCTCTCGGCCCGGGAGGGACTCGGGGCTGCTGGGCTGGCTGTCCCGGGCGGCGTGAGCCCAACCTTTGTCCCTCGGGGGTCGCTGCCCGGCCCTGCCCGCTCCCTCTGCCTTGGCATGGGACCACCTTGGCGGGGGCTCCAGCCAGCCCGGCCGGGGTTGCAGGGGACACGGCAGGGAGTCCCCTGCCCTCGGCGTCCCCCGTGTCCGGCTTCGCGGCTCCCTGGACTCCCTCTAAGGCCGGGCGGGGGAAATCGGTGCGGCGAACACTTTCCTTTAGAAGACGGAATGTAGTCAGCGTTCCTCTGCCTGACTCAGCTCCTGGTATTCGGTGCTTATTGCGTTCTTTAAACAAATAAACAGTTCCTACTTCCTTGTGTCCACTTTTAAAGAAAAGCCTCATCTCGTTAATGGTTTCTGGTAATTTACTTGAAGTTTGCAAGGTGAACTTTGAAGCCTGTAAATTATTATAACCCTCATTTAATGAAAGACGCTTTAAACAATCTTTGGCGTAAATTATGTAACTTCCTAATAATAGTAACTCACCTGTTTAGTTGATTGGCTTACAGTAATGTGTACGGAATTTAGGTTTCGGTCGGAAGGTTTTTCTTGGCAGTTGGCGCTAAAATTAAAATCTCATAGCTGAGAGGTTTTTAGAAGTAGCATACAGTGTGTGTTTTGTCTCCGTACTCCTTTAGAATTGTGAGAATTTAGATCTGAAATCCTGTAGAACAGGACTTTCGAAATTTTGATTTTCCTGACAAGGTAAAAGGTGTTAATATTTCCGATTTTTTAGAAAAAAGTAATTTCGTGCTTTAATGGTAGTATCCTAATTATGCCTTTGGATTATACCAGAAGTTAATAACCTATTAAATTCTGCAATAGGAACAAATGACATGTGGTTATTGGTGTCTTTTGAAGTTTAAGTATTGGTGGTAATGAAATTGTTAAGTAAGGTTTTTTGGATTATGAACTACTGGTTTTTTACTAGTTCCCTGTGGACATGGCATACGACGTTTTAAAAGGCTCTTTAAACTATTGTAGTAGGCTAAAGCTATTAAATTATAATGTAAGATCTTTATAGATGAAACAGGCAAAAATACGAAAAGCAATTCATTATTTTATCTTTGCTAAAAAGGACCAAGTAAATTTTACCATGTATTTAAATGACTTTTGGCTAGACAGACCAGAACTTGACAAGTAAAGATGGACTCATTAATAATATTAACTTGTTTTAGAATATTAAAATGGGGGCGCCTGGGTGGCTCAGTTGGTTAGGCGACTGCCTTCGGCTCAGGTCATGATCCTGGAGTCCCGGGATCGAGTCCCACATCAGGCTCCCTGCTCAGCAGGGGGTCTTCTGCTCCCTCTGCCCTCTTCCCTCTTGTGCTCTCTGTCTCTCATTTTCTCTCTCGCAAATAAATAAAACCTTAAAAATAAAAAAAAGAATATTAAAATGGGAGAGTTTTACTTGAGGGTGACCTGAGTCAGTATGGTGGATTTAGCTCTTTATAGGCTCTTTCTGATTTATGATCTTGATTAAAAAGTTCAGCACAAACATAACAAGAAATTTGGTCCATTATATGTATCAATATACTAAGATGTTCTGTTTCTCTGATAGTTTCTGATTTCAGAGTGTCTGGGGAAAATTTCTCAACATAACGTTCTTTAGAATAATTTTTGACTATATATTTATTGAATGATAGAGTTCTTGAGTTAAGAAATAATCTTAGTGTTGTATAGCTTAACCTCTTCATTTTCCAGGAAAAGGAAGTGAGGTTTGTAGAGTTAAGTAGTACACAGTTTGACTGCTTGTTAGTGGCAGAGTTGGAACTAAATACTAGAATACTTGTCTCCAGATTCCAAGTACAGTGCTCTTTTCACTATATACTATTATTAGATAAACAAACCAATAAAATATTCTTCTCAAACTCCTGTATGTATTTAGCAGGGTTGATTCTTTCCTTTATGCATTTCTCTCTTATTTTAACAACCACCGACCACCATTAATTCATTCCCCTGCAAAAGGGTTGTTTTCAGTTTTTCAGTATTTCAGACAGTGTTTAGTGAATATCTTTGTGCATGTCTCCTCAGACACATGTGTGAGGGTTTCCTATAATGTATACCTACCCTAATTGGAATTGCTGGGCCATAGGTTGATGTGCATTTTAAGCTTTACTAGCTGCAGCCAAATTATCCTCTAAAGTTTAACAATTTATAACAGTATAGAAATCATCTTTGCTCACGCTTGGATTTGTCTGATTGGCATGGTCAGATTTTTAAATTTTTGCCAATCTGATAAATGATGTTTCATTTTCCTTGTTTTAAAAAGATTTTAACTTTATTTTTAATTTACATGAAATGAAATTTTGTTTTGTTTTGTTTTTGTACAATTCTTGTTGTACAGTTGTTTTGACAAATGCATAGATCTGTGTACCTACCAAAATCAGGTATAGGTCCAGCACCTATAAAATTCCCTTAAGCTGCCCTTCTATAATCAACCCTTCCCTCACCTGTAATCCTTGGCAGTTAATGATCTGTCTTTCCCTATAGTCTGTCTTTTCTAGACTGTCATATAAATGGAATCATTCAGCCTTTTGAGTCTGGTTTCTTTCATTTAGCATAATACAGTTGAGTATTCATCCATGTTGTGAGTGTATCAGCAGTTCCTTCTGTTTTACTGCTGAATGTAGTATTCCATTGTAGGGATGTACCACAGTTTGTTCACCAGTTGAAGGATATTTGAGTTAGTTTTAAAATTTTTAAAAATTTTTTTAACTCTGAAAAAGTTGCTATAAATCTCGGGGAACAGGTTTTTGTGTGAACATAAGTCTTCATTTCTGGGTTATATGGAAGTGTATGTTTAACTTTACTTAAAAAACGGTCTGTGGTAGGTAGAATAAAGATATCCTAATCCCTGGAACCTGTGAATCTAGATTACAGCAAAGGCAAATTAAAGTTGCAGTGGAATTAAGGTTGCTAATCAACTGACTTTAAAATAGAGAGTATGCTGGTTTACCCAGGTGGATCCAGTGTATCACAAATGTCCTTAAAAGGGAAAAAGAGAAGTAGTAGAGTAAGAAAGAAAAGATCTAAAAACAGAAGCCGCTCCAGATAGATGAAGAGTTCTTGGTTTTGAGGATGGAGAGAAGAGCCTTAAGCTAAGAATGTGGTGGTCTCTAGAAGCTGGAAAAGGCTAGGAAATGGATTAATGTTTGGAGCCTCCAAAAGAGAACGCAGCTCTGCCAGCATCTTGATTTTAGCCCAGGGAGACCTAGGTCAGATTTTTAATGTACAGAACAGTAAAATAATAAATGTGTTATTTTTAAACAACCAAGTTTGTGGTAATTTGTTACAACAGCAAATTGTTTTTTTCCGAAGAGGCTGAACTGCTTTATATTCCTACCAGCAATGTATGAAGAATGTTCCAGTTATTTTACATCCTCATCACTTTGTATGGTCAGTTTTTTTAGTTTTACATTCTGATAGGTTTGTAGCAGTTTCTCACTGTGGTTTTTATTTGCATTTTCTCATGACTAATGATGTTGAATATCTTTTCATATGCTTATCTGCCATCTGTATATCTTCTTTGGTGAAGTGAAATCTTTTGTCCATTTTATTTTTTATTATTTTTTTAAAAGATTTTATTTATTTATTTGACAGAAACACAGCGAGAGAGGGAACACAAGCAGGGGGAGTGGGAGAGGGAGAAGCAGGCTTCCTGCTGAGCAGGGAGACCCGCTGAGCAGGGAGCCCGATGCGGGGCTCGATGCGGGGCTCGATCCCAGGACTCTGGGATCATGACCTGAGCTGAAGGCAGACACTTAACGACTGAGCCACCCAGGCGCCCCTCTTTTGTCCATTTTAAAATTGGATTTTCTAAATGTTGACTTTTGAGAGTTTTTCATAGTCCATTGTCTGACAGGTGATTGTTACAAAGATTTTCTCCAGTCTGTTGCTTGCCTTTTCCATCCTCTTAACAGTGGCTTTTGAAGTACAGAGGTTTTATATTTTGATGAAGTCCAGAGTATTAGCATTTTTTTATGGATCTTCTGACATTGTATATAAGCACTTTTTGTCTAATCCAAGGTCACAAAGGTTTCTCCTATGTTTTCTTTTACAAGTATTATAGTTTTATATTTTATATTTAGATCGGTGTTCCATTTTGTGTTAATTTTTATTATAAAGAGAATTTTGGGTTGAGTTTCATTTATTTGTCCAATTGTCCCATGACCATTTGTTGAAAAGACTTTCCTTTCTCCATGGAATTGCCTTTGTCTCCTGGTCAAAAACCCTTTGACTACATTTTTGTGGGTCTCTTTCTAGACTTCTGTGTTTCATTGATATACTTATCCTTTGCTACTATCAGTGTCTTGATTACTGTAGTTTTAAAATAAGTCTTGAAATCAGGTAATGTGAGTTCCCCAACTTGTATTCTTTTCAAAAAATTGTTTTAGCTATTTTAGTTCTTTTGCCTTTCCATATAAATTTTAGGATTAGCTTGTTGATATCCACAAAAAAAATCTGCTAGGGTTTTGATTAGGATTGTGCTTAATCTATAGGTCGACTTGAGGATAATTGACATTTTAACAAAATTGAGTTTTCCAATCTATGAACATAGTATTTTCCTCCATTTATTTAGGTCTTTGCTTCCTTTCATGAATGTTTTGTAGTTTTCAGCATATAGATCCTGCAAATATTTTATTAAATCTATACCTAAGTATTTCAGTTTTCTTGGTCCTATTATAAAGGATCTTTAAAAAAAAACCGTGGGTTTTGGGGTGCCTGGATGGCTCAGTCGGTTAAGCATCTGCCTTTGGCTCAGGTCAGGTCCTGGGATGGAGCCTTGCATCCCCGCAGAGCAGGGAGCCTGCTTCTCCCTCTCCTGCTCCCC